GTTTCATTCTCCAGCTCATTTTACAGATGAGGAAATTGAGGCAAACAGGGTTAACTGACTTGCCAAGGGTCACATAGCTATTAAATGGTCTGAGGTCATATATGAATTCGTCTTCCTGTCTCCAGGCCCAGAACTCCATCCACTACCTAACTGTCCTATATGCTAACATATTGGGTGTTAATTTATTTCCATTGATTTTCTGAATGCTATAATCATGTAACAAGCTCTTGAAAAAAATGAGGAGGCTAATTTTGTGGAAACAAATTATCATATTATAGGTGTTGCAATTGACAGAGGTCTTCTGATATCAAGAAAAGACACAAAGAATAACAATAAGGACATTATGAGAGTATTGAGAAGAAAGGTGAAATATTTGGGGAATTACAAGATAATTTACAGTAAAGTTAAGACTGAGGAGAACATTCAGTAAGTACTTTGTGAATGACCCAAAGATAGTAACTGGCAACTAATCTTCAAACTTGCTCCCTACCACCACCCCAGGAAGGAGGGATTGGTCAAGAAAATAAACAGCATAATGACCAAAAGCAACTTGCCAGCAGAGAGAAAGAAGATTATTTAAGTCAGAAAAAGAAAGTTCACCTGTGCATAGAACTTCCCCATATATAGGTCTGAAGACCCTTCTTCATTTGAACTTTGAGGAAGACATCCTCCACAACAGTAGTGGCAAACTACCCAACTAAATACACATTTTTCCATCTTATCCCTCATTTGTTCCTGATGATAAATGTACTATTTAGTAAAGTTATTTTGTGACTTGGCTCTATCAAGAGCTTATATGTGATATGTATATGCATGAGAGATTCTTGTCAGTGGAAAGCTTTAAAGACTGTTTTGCTTAATTAAGTTGACATTTTTCCCATAATTAACAAATAAAAAATTCTCTACACCTCTTAGTCAATTGTGTCACTAAAAATTTGGTCTGTTGTGGAGTATCATCTGCAAAAATCTTCCTGTCCTTTTCTCATATTTTCTTCAAGGACACCTTCAGTATACACATAGCTTATTCAAATAAACACGTTATAGAAGAAAGGAAAATAGGTATATGGATTTGTAGTTAACTAACATCGTTACAATCATATTTTTTTTTTGGTATTACTACTACCTATGGCCTTTTCCATTCTTTTAGAATCTTCCTCTCCCCCTTTAAGATACCTTAAAAATCAATCCCTAAGTGCCTTTGAAGTTTTGTTGCCTCAAGCAAGGTTTTCCACTATATATATATATACATACATATATATATATATATACATATATATATATATATATACACACACACACACATACATATAGAGAGAGAGACAGAGACAGAAAGAGAGAAAGAAAGAGAGAGAGGGAGAAAGAGAGAGAGAAATGCACGCACACGGTCTTATCAATGACTTTTGCCATTTTCATTTTCTTGAGTTTCATGTCCATTTCTCCTGATGGTGCCATTGTTATTGAGATATAAGAACCAAATGTTTCCTGTTTATTAACAGTAAAAATAGAACACTACAAAATTCTAGCAAATCTATTCCATTTCATATCCACCTGTTATCTTTCCAGTTTCATCTTACAAATGTTCTCAATATCATCTGGCTTAGTTGGGTCATGTGCTAAGTATTCTTCAGTTTCAATTTCCCCTATACTGTTTTGCTAATTTATGAGACAATATTGTTCATAATCTCTCATCATTATCTCACAATATTTTGCAAATGAACTTGTATTCTAAATAAGTTTTATCCTTGGCTCCTTGCCAAAAAGGCAAAGTGTTTGCTGAATGAAGTAGTTTCTTGGTTTTAATAGCTTTTTCTTTGTGGTGCTTATTTTATATGAATTTAGCTTCTCTGAGAAATGGCAATAATCAGAGTCAATGTCTTTACATGGCTACCACCCCAACATTAAACCACCAGTGATGCTGTATTTCTAAAGATCACACTAAATGTCTTAATATAGCACTGGAGCCATCAACACCTTACCAAAGGAAAGAAGTCTCAGCTGTTTGTTGCATTGCTTGCTATAGGATAGTAATACTAAGCAATCAGTCAATAAAAAAACATATATTATGTGCTAGGCAGTGGGGATATAAAGATAAAAATTAGAGTCTCTTCATTCATGGAGTTACATTCTACAAGGGAAATCAACATATAAAACATATACAATATGTAAACATACAAGTATTTATAAAATAATACACAAATATACACATACATATTGATGAAGTTACAAGGTCACCATATAATTGTTAAGTTCAAGTTGCAGCTGGGGCTATAATCTTCTTCTAGTTTAATTCCATTCAACCGAACCTTTAGTGAAACCAGAAAGATTACATATTCTTACCAATAATTACCTATTTCAAATCTAATACACAGGCAAAAGAGAAGAAAAAATTATTGGAAGAGGGGAAATGGAGTGAGAAATGAAGAGAAAGAGAGAAAAAGAAAAAAATGAGAGGAGGAAAAAAGATACATGGTAAGTAATACAGTTCATTTCAACCAATTTACTAAGTACTTGCTTCATGCAGATCATAGAGCTAAGTGTTAGAACAAGCAAGAAATTTAGATAAGATGTGGTACCTACCTTCATAGAGCTTAGAGAGTAGCAGAAGTATATGACATGCAAAAATACTAATAATACTTGATAAGTACATGGCAGGTACCATGTAGTTAAAAATACGTATAATACCTACAAAGGGCTATAATAATGATTTACATTTAAATGAAATTTTATGGTTTACAAAATACTTTACGTATATCACTAGCTCATTTGATCATCATAACGCCCCTGTAAGGTAAGTAAAATATTATTTTATGACTTTATAGACATGGAAACTCAGAGTTGAAATTACTTGCCCAAGTTCACCGTTAGTAAGTAGCAGACCTACTCCTCCAGAATCTATTTCTGGTTTTCTGTGCATCATACCATGCTGCTATAATGGTCTGAAGAGTTAAATGTTATTACCACCTGGTAGAATCAAAGGGAAGATATTCCAAGGATAAGGATAAGTATGTGCAAAGACAGAGAAGCAGGCATTCACACTGTGTTCAGCAAGCAAAGTTGTGTAGTTTGGTTTGAGCATAAAGTATATGGAAAGAAAATATGATTAAGCCTAGCATAGTAGATTGTGAAAGAATCTGAACGTGAAGCAAAGGAAAATGAACTTTACTCAGCAGACAATAAAGAACCCCTGAATATTTTTGAGCATAAGGAAGATAACTCTGACAGTGTTAATCCAGAAACATAACTAAAGGGAGGGTTGAGTGGAGGCAGAAAAGCCTATCAGGAAGGTATTTCAAAAGTCCAAGTTGGCAGTAATGGGGGCCTATCATTGGAATAAAGAGGAAGAAATAGGCACCAGAAACATGCTGGTGGTAAAAGTAACAGAGAACTTGATAACTGAATGAATATGAGTAGAAGAAAGAAGGAAGAGTTAAAGATAGCCTAAAGTTACAATCATGAGAGACCAGATGAATTATGCTACCACAGAAAAAAATGTAAAAAAGTAAAATAGGTTATAGGGAAAAGCAAATAAATCCACAGGATAAAAAGATAGATGTGACCTAAGAAGTCAACCATTCTAAACTCTCCATTTTATAGATGAAGAGACAGGGGGAAAAAACACAGGTTTATAAACTACAGTCCTGAGATTCACACTCAGACTTTAGGATGACAAATGGAGCATTGCTCCTCTTTCCTCCTGCTGCAGTTAATGATTTTTCTTAAGTCACAAAGGTAATAAAGAGAATTGAGATTCAATTTGAAATCCAATGCCCTTTCCATTATACTTCTTCTGTGAATATATATTCAGCTAGATTATAGTTAGAAAGATTTTATATATATATATATATATGTATAATATATACACATATAAATATGTTATTTACATACACATATATATGTATATACACATCTGTATTTGGCCTTCAAACATCAAAAAAGAGATTGTATGTATGGACTAGAGAAATAAGTAGGTAATATTTTCCTCAGGTATTGATTGAGATTCTCATAGTTCAGTTTGGGGCATATTGAATTTGAGATGGCAGGTGAACATCTAAGTAGAGATATAATGTAGAATATTGGACTTGTAGGCTGAGGCTAGAAATTTGTCACTTAGCACAACTCTTATTAAGATATAAAATAAATAAAATATAAATATAAAAATAAATAAATTTCTTGTTTACTGATAGTGAAAATAGAATACCACAGACATTCTAGTAAATCTGTTCCATTTCATATCTACCTGTTATCCTTCCAGTTTCATACAAGGTGTATAAGGTGTATTCAGGGAGGACTAGTACCTCTGGTGTGAGGACCACCAAAGCCTTTTTAGGGCTGTTTTCCATCTTTCATGTCCACCTGATTCACCCAACTCTCACCTATGGCTCCAAGAAGCTGTAGCATGTTCAGTGGCCACCACCCAGTAAACCATTTTGGCAGATGGGCTAAAAAAGTTTGAGGGTAACTGAGAAGTCTCAAACCTTTCAGTGAATTGAGGGTGGGGTGTCTACCCCAAGCATGTGAAGACTTCCTCCAGTGGAACAGGCAGATGAGAACAATTTGTTCCAATGGCCACAACTTAGAGCTTGGTTAGACATCAAAGACACCAAAGTCATCCACTGCATCCCAAGCTATCACCAATTGTTTTGACTTGCTACTGGACTCTGATGACTCTAGAAGAGAGAGGGAGGTCAACAAATTCCCACAACTCTGCCTCACTTAAATCCAATTTATGCACAAATCAAAAGACAACACCCATACCATTTTACCTTTTTTACCTAACCCAAAGTTCTCTGGCAGCAGGCAAGTGATGAAGCAGCAGGTGCAGATATGCTGGGAGTTGTGGTCACAACTCTGCACACAGATGGCCCAGGTTATAGAGTCATCTTCTCACTGGAAGCAGCAGTGGGATTTGTCAGCCCCCTGGGTATCTGAGCAGCCTTTTAAGGACCACATTGCTCACCTCCTGATGTGAGGAAGGGGCTAGAAAAGGTGCCCTAAAAATCGTCGGCTTCACCCAATCCTGGCATGCTTACCACAGCAAGAGGAGATTCCACCCTGAGGTCAAAGTACAAAAAAGTATACAAAAACTTTTGCAAAGATGATTCCAATCACCATCGTTACATGGAATATGTACACACTTAATAGAAAACACAAAGTCCAGCAGACCTCTTGTTGTGAGAGGACAAATCAGGTATCACATCCAAATAACAGCCTTGAGTGAAACAAGGCTGGCAAATGAAGGCTAGCTTAGCTAGTGCATGTTTTTCTGGAGTGGCCACAGTGAAGGAGAGTAACATGAAGCTGGTGTAGGTTTTACAATCACAACTAATCTAGTCAACAAGGTTGTATGCCTATCAAAAGGAGTGAACAACAGACTCATGACAATGCGATTGACACTTGCAGAGAAGTGCCATGCCACCCTCATCTATGCATATGCTCCCACTATGAAGAACCCTGATAAGGTCAAAGGAAAATGTTATGGACACCTGGAGACTCTCAACTTCAATGTGCCAAAGGAGGACAAGCTTATAATTCTGGGTAACTTTAATGCAAAAGTAGGCACAGACTACCAGACACGGTAGGGAGTCCTTAGGAAAAATGGAGTCGGAAACAGCAACAACAACAGTCACTGACTACTGAGGACTTGTGCATCTTGTGATCTTCTCATCATCAACACTGTCATCTGTTTATCCAAATGCAATAAAACTTTACTGATGAACCCTCACAGCAAACATTGGCATTTAATAGACTATGTCATCATAAAGAGAAGAAAGAGACAGACAAGATGTGAGAATTTTGAAGGCAATGTTTGGCACAAAGTGCTGGACTGATCATAGACTTATCATCTCCAAGCTAAATATTTGCATTCAACAAAAGCAGTGGCCCTAAGGAAAGATGACTACCAGAAGACTTAATGTCAACAGATTAGAGTGCTTCTCTTAGTGGGAAAAGTTCATTGCTAACTTAGAGGGAAAGCTGAGCCAACACATGGTTGGCAACAGTGGAGCAGAAAAGGAGTCGGCAGCTTTCAGAGATTTGCTGTACAGCATTGTGTTTACTCACCTGGGCCAGAACATCAAGATTGGTTGATGAAAATGATGGGGAAATTCAGAAGCTGCTAAATGAAAAATGAGAACTATTCAGGGTTTACAAGCAAGATAATTCATCCATCTCTAAGAAAGTAATATTTAATTCCATCAAAAATAAAGTGCAAAGAAAGCTTAGAGAGATGCAGGATTTTTGGCTCAGTAGGAAGGCTGACAAAATTTAGTTTTACACTGATAGTAACAATCCAAAATGCTTTTGTGATGTCCTAAAGGCTATTTATGGGCCAAAGACCTATGACTCATCTTAACTACTCAGTGCTGATGGAGCCACATTGATTAGTGATAAGGACGTGATCCTGCAGAGATGGGCTGAATACACTTCCACAGTGTTCTCAACGGAGCATCATTAATCAATGCTGAACCGACTTACCATATGTCTCAGATAGAAGTCAACCCCATCTCTATAAAGGTAAAGGAAATAAATTGTCCTGTGACAACCATGGGGTAGGGGTGGGGGTGGGGGGAGAGGTGGTTTCTCTCTTAGTCACTGCTGGCAACAGTCCTCATTAATTGGCTGATCCTTCACCTGGAAGAGCCAATATGGCTTCAGAAAGGGCTAAGGAATAGCTTATGTGGTGTTTGCTGGTTGACAACTCCAGGAGAAATGCCAGGACCAGAACAGAAGTCTGTATACCACATTCATAAAACTGACCGAGGCTTTTGATACCATCTGCTGTGAGGGCTTGTGGAAAATTATATCAAAATTTGGTTGCCTGGAGACATTCATCAGTATTGGTATGTCAATTTCATGATGGCATACTTGCCTGGATTCTAGATGATGGAAGATACTCTCACACTTTCCCAGTCATCAGTGGAGTGAAATAAGTCTGTGTGCCTGCTCCCATGCTTTTTAGTGTGATGCTTTCAGTACTATTGTCAGAAGCCTTCAACAAGTATGAAAATGGCATCAAGGTCAGCTACCACACTGATGGTACACTATTTAACTTGAAAAGGCTACAAGCTAAGACTAAAGTGGAGGAGAATTGGTGAACAACTTTTTGTTCACAGATGCACTCAATGCAGCCTCTGATGCTGAGATACAACAAAGCATGAATCAATTCTCTGCTGCTTATATTAATTTTGTCCTAACAATACCAAGAAAATAAAGATTCTTCAGCAGCCAGCACCACACAAACCATACTTGGAATCATTGCTTACAGCAAATGGAGAAATTTTGAATACTGTTGATAAGTTCACTTACCTTAGCAGTCTACTTTCCAGGAATGTACACAGATGATGAGGTTAATGCACACATTGCCAGAGCTAGCTCTGTATTTGGGAGGCTATGAAAGAAAGAGTGGGAGAGAAGAGATGTTAGATTGTCTGCCAAATTGAAGGTCTACAGAGCTATTGTGTTAACTTCATTGTTGTATGCCTATGAAATCTGGAGAGACTACAAGCACCATGCCAGGAAAATGAATTGCTTCCATTTGAATTGTCTTAGAAATATTCTGAAGATGAGCTGGCAAGATAAGGTAACAGACACTGAGGTCCTTTCTCAAGCTGACCTGTCAAACATTTAAACTCTACTACAGAGACAACAACTCCAATGGGCTAGCCATGTTGTTTGAATCCCAAACTTCCATTTGCCTAAAACGTTATTTTACAGAGAACTCATGCAAGGCAGGTGATCACATAGAGGTCAGAAGGAGTGATACAAGGATACTCTCCAGGTCTCTCTGAAGAACTTTAGCATCTCTTGTGAGACATGGGAGACACTGGCAAAGGATAGTCTGGCATGGCATGCCCTCATCAAAAAAAAAAGGTGCTGCGCTCTATGAGTGAAGCAGAATTGCAGTAGCTCAAAAGAAATGTGAGATGCAAAAATTTAGAGACACCTCCACTCCAAATGTTCATATGGACTATTTGTCCTGAACCCGTGGTAGAGCGTTCCAACCTCATATTGGTCTGATCAACCACAGTCAGATACACTGCATCTTGACTCCAATATACTGATGTCATTTTGGGTCTTCTTTGAGAATGAAGGACAACAACCAACCAACAAACCAACAGATGTTCTCAATGTCATCTGGCTGAGCTGGGTCATGTGCTGAGTATTTTTCAGGTTCAATTTCCCTAAACTACTTTTTGCTGATTTATGAGACAATATTGTTCATAGTCTCTCATCATCCTTACCATAATAATTTCCAAATGAACTTGTTGCCCTTGGGGGACAGAGCCAAGATGGCAGAGTAAAAGCAGTGACTTGCTTGAGCTCTCCCCCAAACCCCTCCAAATACCTGTAAAAATGGCTCTAAACAAATTCTAGAGCAGCAGAACCCACAAAATGACAGAATGACACAAATTTCCAGCCCAAGACAACCTGGATGGTTGATGGGAAAGGTCTGTTGCACCAGGCTGGGAGAGAAGCACAGTTTAGTGTGGGCCCCACAGGCAAAGACAGGGCCCCAGTAAATCTGGAGTAGTCCTTAGGAGACTGAATCACTGGCAGCTGTAGCGTTTTCCAGACTTCTCAACCCGCAAATGCCAAAGACAACTTAGAAGGTCAGTAGGAATGATCTGTCAGACCTGGGTGAGAAAGGAGCGTGGTCTGGCCCTAGCTATGTCACAGCCCCAAGGTGGTGGCTGCTTCTGGACTCTCAGCCCACACAGACGGTAGGGGAATTGAGTGGCTGATCAGAGGGGCATTGCAGTGATCTCTTCGCTGGCACTGAGGCAGGATTCTCTTGCTTTGCCTGTGCTTGGATTTGGGTCTCAGTCCTGGGTGGCAGTCCTGGGGTGAGGAGAAGTGCTGATGTGGTAGAGTTTGTGGCTGTGGTGTAGAGAGAATCCTCGTCACAGTTCCAAGACAGAAAAGAGTGCTTGTGGTTACTCACAGACCAGAGCACAGGCCAGGAAAGGAGTAGACATCTCGCCCTTGATTGTACCACATTGGAGGAACTGAAAATTTACAAGTCCTTAGAAATATCTCTGAAAACAGCTGCACAAAACTGCTGAAGTTTGGGACAGTACACCCTCCACACTGGAAGCAGAATCCTACCTTAACAAAGAGTTAAAAAGTCAAGTAATTGGCTAGGAACATGAGCAAACAGCAGAAAAAACTTATAGAATCTTACTTTGGTGACAAAGAAGATCAAAACATACAATCAGAAGACAACAAAGTCAAAGATCCTACACCCAAAGCTTCTAAGAAAAACATGAATTGGTCTCAGGCCATGGAAGAGCTCAAAAAGGATTTTGAAAAGCAAGTAAGAGAAGTAGAATAAGTGTTGCCCTTGGCTCCTTGCCAAAAAAGTAAAGTAATTTAGATAGAAATTTAAAGATAACAGGGAGATATGATAGTTAAAACCTTAGGTAGAGGCGATAGTTAAAACCACGAGAATGAGACTATCTAGAAATTAATCAATCAAATATTAATTAAGAGTCATGTGCCAGTTACTGTGCCAGGCAATGAGGATATAAGGAAAAAAATAAATAAAATATTATCTACCCAACATTCCATCAGCGGAGACAACAGGTAAATATGTAAGTATGTACAAAATAGATACAGAATAAACAGAATAGTTTTAGGTGCACTTTATTTCAGTTTTGATGGAAATTTGGTATTCTAAAGAATTAAGGTGAAGAGGGAATGTATTTGAGACATTGGGCACAGCCAGTACAAAGGCATAGCGATAGCAAGGTGTCATCTGTGAGACAGCGTAGGTAGATCAGATTAGATGTCAGATAGTCAGTCAATAAGTATTTATGAAGTCCCAACCAACCAACCAGTTAAGCTCCTACTACATGTGAGGCACTGTGCTAAGGACTATGGATACAAAGATACAAAAGATATTCCCTGGCCTTGAGGAGCTCACAATCTAATGGGGCAGACAACACACAAGGAATTATGTACAAACTATTTATAGGATAAACGGGGAATAATAAAAGAGGGATGGTGATAGAATTAAAAAAGGTTACAAAAGGTTTCTTATAGAAGGTGAGATTTTAGTTGGTATTTGAAGAAATCAGGGAAGTCAAGAGGTAGAGATGAGGAAGGAGAGCATTGCCATCGGGTGCTGCCATAGAGAATGCCCAGAGCCATGACATGGAATGCCTTGTTTGTGGAATAGCAAAGAGACCAGTGTCACTGGATCAAAGAGTACATGGGGCACGGAGGAGTAATGTATAAGAAGACTGAAAAGGGGAAGGTGAGTGCTAGGTATGAAGGGATTTGAACACAGAGGATTTTGCATTTAATCCTGAAGGTGATAGAGAGCCACTGGGGTGACATGATTGGACTTGTGCTTTCAGAAAATCATCTTGGTGATTAAATGGAGGATGGACTGTAATAGGGAGAGACCTGAAGCAGGCAAACCCAGCAGCAGGCTATTGCAATAATCCAGGCATGAAGTGATGAGGGCCTGCACCTCAGCAATGGCAGAGGAGACAAGTGTGTGTATTTCAGAGATGTTGCAAAGATGAAATTGACAGGCCTTGGCAACAGCTTGAATATGGGGTGTAAAAGATGGTGAGAAGTCAAGGATGACATATAGATTGTAAGCCTAAAGGACTGGGAGGATGGTGATGCCCTTAAGGTCATAGGGAAATTTGGAAGAGAGGAGGGCCTAGGGAGAAAAATAATGAATTCTGTTTTGGATATGCTTAGTTTAATATGTCTGCTGAACATCTAGTTTGAGATGTCTGAAAGGCAGATGGAGATGCAGGACTGGAGGTCAGCAAAGAGGTTAGGACTGGATAAATTGATTTGAGAATCAGCAGCATACAGATAATTTAATCCATGAAAGCTGATGAGATCATCAAGTGAAGTAATTGAGGCAGAAGAGAAGAGGGCCCAGGACAAAGTTCTGTGGGACACTCATGGTAAGTAGGCATGACTGGATAAGGATCCAGCACAGAAGACTGAGAAGGAGTCAGATATGTAAGAGGAAAATCAGGAGAGAGAAGTGTCCTGAAAAACTTCTTGTACTTTAGGGTGCATGAAGAGTAATGAAGCTAGAAAGGTAAGTTGTGAAGTGATTTAAATGCCAAACAAAGGAGTTTATATTTTATCTAAAGGTGATAGGGAGCTACTAGACTGAATAGGCAAGTGAAGTGATCAGACCTCTCTAAGAAAATCACTTTAGAAGCTGGGTGGTAGAAGGCTTGGTGAGGGGAAATACTTGAGCCACGGAAAGCAGAATATAAGAGGGTGTGAGGTGGTGATAGTCTTCACTAAAGTGGTTGCCATGTGAGTGATATAAAGGCAACAGATGCAAGAAATTTTGTGGCTACAGAATTGGCCAAACTTGGCACCTGATGTGGAATGAGTTAAGTGAAAAGTGAAGGATGTCGCTGAGGCTGTGAACCTGAGTGACTGGAAGGATGGTGGTGCCCTTAACAAAAACAGAGAAGTTTGGAAAAAATACTGATTTTCAGAGAAACATGAAATCTTATTTGTAACAGGTTGTATTATGGTATTTGTAGGAGTCTTGAACAAGGATAAGATCACAATATATTAAAACATATTTGGGGGTTAACATTGCAGAATAGTCACCATTCAGTTCCTTTCTGGACAATTTCCCCTTAAGAATTCCTTCCTGTGATCAGTATCTTAACCTTGAATTTCAGAAGAGAAAATACTGTCTCTAGGTGGATCACAGTGCCAATCACTTCAGGTGTGTTTGAAAGCAATCTCAGCTAGACAAGAGTTAAGTTTGGGTATTGCTCTTACTCCATTTCAAAGGAAGTCCCTTTGTTCTTCCCACTTTCCTAAAGGGAAAGGTTAGAAAGGTTTTAGGCTGCAGAAGCAGTATTTCTAGGGGCAGCTAGGTGGCACAGTGGATAGAGCACCAGCCCTGCAGTCAGGAGGACCTGAGTTGAAATATGGCCTCAGACACATAACACTCGCTAGCGTGTGACTCTGGGCAAGTCGCTTAACCCCAATTGCCTCACCAAAAAAAAAGAAAGAAATATTATTTCTTAGTGTTTCTAGAAAAACTAAAAAGAAGTTTTTAATATATTTCCACAATGCATATTTTTCCCTAGGAATTTGGATGACAAAGAGAGAATAGAAATAGGAAAAATGGGAGTTGAGGGAGTGGTAAGATACAATGAGGACTTTTTTAAAGAAAGGTAACACTTGGACATGTTTGTAAACAGCTGGGAGGGAACCAGTAGACAGGAGAACATTGAAGGTTGGGGTAGCAGGGAATGATCAAGAAGGCAATTTGTTAGGCAAGATGGGAGTAAATTAAATCAAGGTTACAAATAGAAGGATTGGCCTTGAAGAGG